GCTTGGCTCCCGCACGCGTGTGTCTGAGGAAGGTCTCAAAAGGCCAGAGCGGAAGGAGGAGCCAGGATTGGATAAGCAGTCTTCTCTGGTGTAGTGACGCCGGAAACCGTCTCTCCCCGAGGGATCAAGGGCTGCTGCTTCTGGAGGGGTTTGCGATCCAGAGGTCGCCGTCTCCTTGAGGGCCCTGGTGCCCTCTGCAATTCCCTAGAGCCTTAGGGGTTCCCCGCGCTGCCCTTGACCTCCGCTCGGGGCGACGGGGGCCTTGATCGTTAGGTGTCAGAAGTCAGTTTGGCATTGCCGGGGAACTCGGCGCCTCCTGGGTGTGAGAGGACCCGCGGCGCCCTCTCCTGGTGGCGGCCTAATAGGCCGTAACTGTCCACTTGCAGTCATTCAGGACACTTGGTGGTTTTTTTTTTTTTTTTAAGTATTTCCAGAGCTAGGTTCGTGGAAAATTGTCATTCGTTATGTGTGTACAGCAGAAGTCCAAGCTCGATCTCAAATGTTACTTCTCTGAAAGGCTTTCTCTGACAACCCTCTTTGAAATAGTGCCCACAAAAAGGATACACACTCTCCTCCGTGTCACTCTTTAGTCTTTATTTACAGCACGTATTACCTATGTTGTTTATATATTTATTAACCTCGTTTCATCAGCTTTGTGAACCTGAACTGTGATTTATCCCTTGGCATGGCCCAAAAGAAAAAGTGGTCTACCAGGGCACAGTAACGCATTCTAATCCCAGCTACTTGGGAGGTCGAAGGGAGACCCATTTGTCCTGTTTGCTGCTGCACCTTCAACATTAAATGACATATTTGGTATATATAGTATATGCCAAGTACATATTTTAGAATAAATTAATACTTGAAAGGATTTCTAGAAGTGGCATTTAACTGACTCCCAGCATTAACAGTTCTCTTGGGTACATAGGAGTATTTAATCTCCATGAGGGGTGGTAAAGAGAGCATTCCACTTAAAGCCATGGAATCAAGTATGTCTGTAATTCTAGTGGCTAGTGACACTGAGTCAGGAGGATGGTAAGCTCAAATCCAGTTTCAGCAACTTAGCAAGATGCTGTCTCAAATTTAAACAAACAAAAAGACTGGCATGTTGCTCAGCACCAGCACCTCTGGGTTCAATCCCCAGTATCAAATAATTAATAAAACCATGGTATCTAAATTAATGTTAGTACTGCCATTTCCTTTAAAGTGTGCAACCTTATACATGTCACTTTAGTTTATTTCCTCCACAGTAATACCTATCTTAACAAGAGTTCTGTGAGTGAGAAAATGGTTTTGAGAGCTCTAGCATCTATATAGTGTTTTCTTGGTCACAGAGGTTTATGTCGGCACAGCTGTTCATGATTATACTACTCAGGCAGTATAAAAACATGGTCCTGGAGTGGGCCATACTCTACAAGTTGGGTGAAAGAGGTAAATGGGTTAGAAACTTGACTAAGGCATGAAGTGGAAACAGGGGACAAAATCAGAAGCAGTTTTGTGGAAGAAGTGGGAAGGAACTATCCTAGGAAGTATCAAGTAGAGGGAAGACATTTCATGCAGTAAAAGAATATGGCAGGAGGGCTGGGATTGTGGCTCAGCAGGAGAGTGCTCACCTAGCACCGGCAGGACCTGGGTTCAATCCTCAGCACCACATGAAAATGAAGGCATTGTGTTGTCTCCATCTATACCTAAAAAAATACTTTAAAAAAAAGATATGGCAGGAGCACAGGAATTCATTCATTCCTTAAATATTTAGTGTTTAGTGCTTCTCCCTTTATGCTATCTCAAACTGACACACACGCACACAGGCCTTGTTGATTCTTCCTTGAAGCTACCAGTCAGCTTCCTTCTATCTTCTCTTCCTTTGCCCTAGTCCAAGCTCCCAGCCTCTGGTCCAGATTACTGCACCAGCCTCCTGGCTGGTTTCATTGCTATTTGTATTTTTTGTTTTGTTTTGTTTAGTTTTGTTTAGAACATCTGTAAATTTTAGTCCTTTCTTTACCGTTACCTAGATCACTTTTGATTTAGAAGATCTGAAAGTTAGTAACTGCCACAAGAAAACACCAAGCAGTGACACATGTCAATTTTCTACAGAGTCCTGCTTCCCAGGGTGTCTTAATAAACCACTGAGGGTCTCTGCTCACTTTGTTGGAATCACTTGTGCAGATTTCATTGCCATTTGCTTTGTCCTGCTCTAACCAGTTCTCCATGCTGTATGTAGCCAGAGAGAACCCCCACCCACTCACACACAGAGACACTGGATATTGAACTCAGGGGTACTCTCCCACAGAGCTACATCCCCAGCCTTTTTATTTTATTTTTTTAATTTGGAGTCAAGATCTAGCTAAATTGCCCTAGCTGGCCTTGAACTTGTGATATTCCTGCCTCAGCCTCCTGAGTAGGAAAGGACTTTTAAAATTGCAAACCAGGAGCGGAGGCCCACACCTGTAATCCCAGCTACTTGAGAGGTTGAATTAGAGCAGGTTGGGACTTTATGACCTTCCCACAGTGCTTTAGATGGCCCTATTGGGCCAGTGAAAAAGCCAACTAGAACTTGGAGAATGATATTGACTGTAGGAAGATAAATGAGGTGATACTTCCTATCTATGCTGCCATGCTGATATTACACAGCTACTGGAGAAGGTCAGTCCCATCCTCCTTTTGCTCTGTGCATGCTCTTCTAGACTTGGCTAATGCCTTTTTTCAGCATTTATTTAAAACTAGACTCAGCAAGACCAGTTCACCTTCACTTGGGAAGTAAGGCAATGAACATTTCCCACTGATATTTTCTGGTTCTGGTATATTGTGATTATACTTTGTTATAGGACATAGTAGAACAACCTTGCACTCATCTATGCATAAGGTAATGGTCTGTCTACCCTAATGATACTGCTGGGTATCTGTGACAAGTTCTGCTTCCTCACTTGTTGAAGTTTGAACATTAGAGAAGCATGCTGAGGCAAGCATATAAAGCAGGGTTTATTTTAAAAAGGGTAACATAGAGTTCCTAGATTTCTCCCAGGAGGGAGAAGGGGGCCATAGCTGGTATCCTGGTATCCCAAGAAGTGAGGTGTTCTGCCCTTTTTATATGTCCGAGGCTTTCTTTGTTCTCCTGTCCTCTTCCCCTTATCTTTATCCCTCTTGCAGAATGGAACTACCCTTTGACCCATTTATCCCACTCCTTGGCACATACCCAAAGGACTTAAAATAAGCATCCTATAGTGACATGGGCATATCAATGTGTATAACAGCTCAATTCACAATAGCTAAGCTATGGAACCAACCTAATTACCCTTCAACAGATGAATGGATAAAGAAAATGTAGTACATATACACAATGGAATATGACTCAGCCATAAAGAAGAATGAAATAATGGCATTTGCTTGAAATGGAGACTATCACATTAAGTGAAGTAAGCCAATCCTTAAAAAACAAAGGCTGAATGTTCTCTCTGATATGCGGATGCTGACTCACAATGGGGAGGGAAAGAAGGAGTGGAGGTTCATGGGATTGGACAGTGGGAGTGGGAATGGGAATCGGAAAGACAGTAGAATGAATTGGACATAATCTTATGTTCCTATATGAATACATGACCAGTCTAACTCTACATCATGTACCACCACAAAAATGGGAAGTTATACTCCATGTATATGTGGTATGTCAAAATACATTCTACTGTCATGTATAACTAAAAAGAACAAATAAAAAATCTGCAAAAATAGGATGAAAATATCACACGGTGCTGCAGTTGGCTTCCTGGTCTGGCATGCCATTTTGCTGTTAGTTTTACAAATCACTCATCATTCTGGCCTGCTAGCATGTGAGGTAGATTCCTTCATACTACCTCCAGCTGCTGTCACCCTACTGTTTAACAGAGATAATACCCCCAGGATTGTCTTATTTATTGGATAGTACACTTTTATAAGTCCCTAGTAGACATTTTTTTTCCCTATCTTTCTTTTTTTAAATTATTTCCACTGGAACCTGTGCTATTATCAAATCCAAGTTGATAACTTTGTCTGTTCCTAGCCCTTCTATAGAAGACATGCTAAGTCACTTCTTTACCTTAAGCAGGTAAGTTTATTGTTATTATCATTTGAAAACCTGTCTCTTTTCATGCTTGTGTCTCTGATTGCTGTGGACTATGCTTACAAGTTAGACAAATGGCCTTGCTCCATGTTGCCTATACAAAGCTAAAACCTCTCACAGCCTCAGGGCACAGTTGTGGAAGGGGCAGGACACATAAGATTATAAAAGTGAGCAGTGGGATGTATAGGTACCCTTTGACATTATTACCAGTTTTGACCCAAACGGAGTCCTTTTTCCTCTTGGAGTCATAGGGCCAACAAACAAAAACCAAGAACTAGCAGGCACAGCAGCTTCAGAGGCTGAGCAGGAGATGGAGAGTTCAAAGCCAGCCTCAGCAAAAGTGAGGCACTAAGCAACTCAGTGAGACCCTGCCTAGAATACAAAAATATAAAATACAAAATAGGGTTGTGGCTCTGTGGTTGAGTGCCCCTGAGTTCAATCCCTGGTACCCAAACAAACATTGAAGGAAAGTTTTATTCTGAACCA